CTTTTTGCTGGTTTTAGACTTTAAAAGACAAGTAGTTTCTCTTGTTTATCAGGTGTTGTTTTAAGCGGGAACCCTACATTAGCCAATACGAATATCTGCAATGGAGTGATTGGTTCTGAGATTTTACCATCTCTAGATTCACTGAAATCTTTCAGGAAAGTTCCGTCTATCTGGTCCTACCTATATACATTCCAGGTCTTTTCCTGACAGGATCTAAGCCTTCCAACACCTAATGCATCATAAAGAGTTTAATATAAAAAAAAACTGAAACTAAGAGATTCATGGTAGTACGAATTCAAACAACTATTGCAGAAGGTTATCTGAACAAAGCAAGAAAGTGAAACATATAGATTAAAGGAATTACTTGAATGTGCTCAGAACTGTAATCCTTAAGAGGTGGAGCTCTCTTGAAGAGACTCAGTGTCCATGGTCGATGTCTCGATTACATAAAGGACCTAGGCGAGACCGCATTTCTTATTACAAGTCTTTGACTCAAATTCATCGAATTCAACTTTCATCTACAAGTGATTTCACTGAGAGATCAAAAGCATATAAGAACACAAACAAGTCGATAAAAGGTCGTCGGGCTTAATCGAGTGGCCCAACTTGAGTTTGATTTGTATTTTTTATTTAAGAGTTTTAAATAAATGTCTTAATTTTGTGAATAAATATTTTTTTACAAAGATTTTTTTCCTTTTTTTTTTGGTAAACCATTCGTAATTATTTTTGATTTGTCTCTCTAGTTTATTACTCGTTGATCGTTTGTTTCTAACTAGGTGATTCCCCGCGTAATACACGGATGAAATATTTTCTAATTTTCTAAATATCAAACTAATTAAAAAAACTTCATTTCATGATTAAACATTACAAATGGTGTTCGATTAAAATTGTAGTCCTCTTAGATCTTCATCTTCTATCTCTTAATTTACTAAATGAATTTCTTTTCATGTGTTATATTTTAGGTAATTCGTGTTCTTCCACTATTTTTAATTCTTATTCTTCTGAAAAAACTAAATAAAAATAATTAAAATGAGCATGATTTGGAGTAAATTTTGAATTAGGATGAAGAAATTGGTAAAACAATTATTTTCAAGCTTTTTCAAATGTTGAAGATAACATTAAAAAAGATGAAGTCATTACACATTCTTTATTAAATTCATAAAATATAAATTCATAAAATAGAAAACAAACAATAAAATAGAAAACAAATAAAAGAAAAGAGGAATTTGGTTCAAAAAATATGTTTACGTG